CAGCGCCAATATTTGAAAAGTTTATATGAACATTGTACTGACCTTTTAATTTCGCCAGCAGTAAACTATAACTTAAATTCGGGCACGGACTCCACTGTAAAGTGCTCATAAAACATTTTCTTTACTTTCACTGTGAAAAACTGTCAATTTTTAAGAAATATATTTCGATTTATAACCTTTATAATCTGTGTTTATAAAATATAAAAATTTGACATTTGACGGCCCACTAAGCAAAATACTGTTGGGCGAACGTTGCAGCGATGTTAACAGTAACGCTGTAACGTTAACTGGGGGGTAACATTAACGTCACTTAAACATTACAACAACGGTTAATGTCCGCCTCATGAACGTTTAAATGTTACATTGCAACGTCAACGTTGAAACAACGTTAAACCGTGCCGTACAGGTGCTATTAACTGATGCGTTAGCGTAACGTTAATTTACTGTTTTTAAATTAACGTTAATAAAACGTTAAAATTAATTGTTTTATTAACGCAGCTCTGGATGCCAATTCTTGGCGGGAAAGACAAACAAAGATATAGATTTAAAAAGAACTTGTTATTTTTACTTCTTTCGACATTATTTGTAAAAAATCTTCTTCTTTTATAATTTTTTCAAAACCCGTTGATGGCCTTGACGAAACCACTCCATAGCAGATTCTTCCGGATAGCTAGTTTCAACACCACCTGCAAAAAAAAAAGAAATTTAGCTTAAGCTGACAAAAACAATAATTTTAGATCCATAACTCTAAAATAATTGTTCTCGCGGACATATTGACATTTTTAATTTTAGTTTAGATTTGTCTATTTCTGTTAACTTAAATATTTCTGAATTAATACTTTAACAAAGCTATTGAGGCAAAAGGCGCCACGAGGTATATACCTAACAAAATAAACAAATCTCTCGTATATATACAAATATACAAGTTGTATAATACAAGTTGTATTATACAACTGAACAGCTGCCACCTGTCGCCCTCGACATCAGCGATTTTGACCAAACTTGGAACATTCCAAGTTTGGTCAAAATCGCTGATGTCGAGGGCGAAAGCTGGCAGCTGCCACCAACCTAGGTTTGGCGCATTTACATATATTTACGAGGTTGCTCCTGACAAACCTAACCTAGGATAGTAAATCTTTTTGAAAATAGTGACTTTTTAGTCCAATAAAATTGTCCCGGATTTTCACTGTCAGGCGTTCGTAACAATTGACAGAAGTATAGATGCGTTTAATCGCAATATTAATTTTGATAATAAACGTCGGACGCAGTGAAATAAAAATAATGCCAATATTGGTATAAAAACACCAACACGCCTGCATTAAGTTACATTACATTAAATGCTGGCTACATCCACCTTATTAAATAATTTAATTAAATTTAACTAAATATAATATATATTAGCTTAAATATAATATATATTAGCTTAAATATATTAATATATATTAGCTTATATTATATACAGGGTGTTTCTTTTAACTTGAGACAGCTCAATATCTCGATAAATACGCATTTCACGGAAAAATGTGTTAAATAAAAGGTTAATGTGACTAAAGGGGACATTATTTGGTGCTACCGCTAGCCACCCCCTACCCCTCCTTAAGGGTGAAACGGGGGGTAACTTTGGAAAGTCAAATGGAATGACCCGATTTTTTTCACAGAGTTTGGTAGTACATAAAAAAATAAATAACTTTTATTTAAAACTTTTTTCAATTTATCAACAGATGGCGCTGTAATTCAAAATTTAAGAAAAATGAGTTTCCTTGTAAAATGTATTATTTGAAACGTTTGAAAAACAAAAATTAACATTAACTACAATAGTCGGCTATGAAAACAATTTATAACAAATGTTCGAAATGTCGTCATTCCATTTCAACACATTTTTGAATGCGGGTAATGAATTCTGGCACACAACGCGCCAACATATCGGGCGGTATCGCCGCACAGGCGTTCCTGATCCGCTCCACCATGTCCTCCCAAGTTGTAGGAATTGCAGCGTAAACTTTTTCTTTCAAGTAACCCCACTGGAAGAAGTCTGGTGGCGTAAGATCAGGTGATCGAGCAGGCCAAATTACTGGACCACGTCTACCGATCCACCGCGGTGCACCGGCCATTGACCTCCAGATCCAACACCTCTCGAGCAATTGTCGAATAATGTGCAGGACAACCATATTGCTGGTACCACATGTTTTGGAGCCGTGCTAGTGGTACATCCTCCAAAAGGTCCGTCAGGTCGTTTTCTAGAAAATTCCGGTACTTTTCGCCATTTAATGCACCGTCAATAATGAAGGGTCCGATTAATCGTTCGCTTAAGGTACCTACCGCACCAAACGTTTACCGACCAGGGACGCTGGTGCTCCACTTGGTGTCGAAATGGAAGGACGGCATTTCGAACATTTGTTATAAATTGTTTTCAGAGTCGACTATTGTTGATTTAATGTTAATTTTTGTTCTTCAAACGTTTCAAATAATACATTTTACAAGGAAACCCCTTTTTCTTAAAATTTGAATTACAGCGCCATCTGTTGATAAATTAAAAAAAACTTTCAAATAAAAGTTATTAATTTTTGTATGTACTACCAAACTCTGTGAAAAAAATCGGGTCATTCCATTTGACTTTCCAAAGTTACCCCCCGTTTCACCCTTAAGGAGGTGTAGGGGGTGGCTAGCGGTAGCACCAAATAATGTCCCCTTTAGTCACATTAACCTTTTATTTAAGACATTTTTCCGTGAAATGCGTATTTCTCGAGATATTGAGCTGTCTCAAGTTAAAAGAAACACCCTGTATAGGTACACACCTGCTGTTGAATGACTTTGTTGTTGTTGCACTTGTTTTTGTCCTTGCCCTTGCCCATGCCTTTGTTGCTTTTGGATAAAAAATGTATGTTAATTTTGGCTTAAACTAACTCCTTTCTGGTAACGATAATAAGCTGAGATCTAAAACTAAACATAGCAATTTCAGACTTGATGCAAGTTAAAACACTGATAAGAAAATATTACCCAAAATAATAAGGTTAAACAGGTACCTATTTAATTGTTTTAAACTATTTTTTTATGAAAAAGTACCTAAACCCGTTAAAAATAAAGAATGAAATATTTAAAATCGCTAGAATATAAATTTTTGTAAATATAGGTATATGACTATAAATATCAAATTATAATTTGCAATCTCAATTAATTTGCTTTAACATAAATTGTAGTGTTAATAATTATCTTTGAATGAACCTTATAAATAAAGAATATAAAGATATATAATATAAAGATAATTATTAACACTACAATTTATGTTAAAGCAAATTAATTGAGATTGAGACGCCATCGCCATTTTGTTATGCTATTTACTGAACGAGCCGGCAAACCACAGAGGCAAAGTGTTTACAATAGTTTTTAATATATACATATTTAGGCACTTACCTACCAAAATTTCCACATCTAGATTTGAAACGTAAAAACCAATAACACTGATTGCACTTCCCATTAATTATTTTAGTAAAAATTGCACTGCATCTATTATGCACGCTAACGATAGACTGCGCTTTGAGGTTATGTTCTGTCACAGAACTTCTGTGTTGTTATCTTAACGTAGTCATATGAAACGTTCACGTACTTATAACATTTAACGTTGCCTTAATGGCACAAGATTTAACGTTGTAATTAATTCGTTCTCCTAACGCAGCAATGGATAACATTGCTGTACCACTACACTATTAACAGTTACTCAACGTTTCCGAAAAAACGTTATATTATCAACGTTGACACAACACACTGGCAATGTGTTCGAAAACACCATTAATTTACTGAATTGTATGAACGTCAGTATAACAATACAAAGTAACGTTCATTTTGATACTCTCTGCTAACGTTGACCAACGTTATTTAAACGTTTCTTGCTTAGTGGGGGTGACACACAGATTCCCCTATTGTTTCATAGATGGCGCTCTATACAAATTTTTGATTTAACTCATTTTAAGATAATAATAAGAATTTGTCAAAGAAAAAGTTTAGTATGCACCTCGTTTATAAACTTTTCTATACACTCATTATCAAACTTGATAAATAATATACTATTATTATAAACGATATAATAAAATTTGAAAAACTACAGGCAGCTGCCTAGGGTTTTTAAAAGTTTGAAGACTTTTTAAAAGACCTACCAAATGTGGTACCAAGGCAGCAAAATCGAACGAGGGCGTTAACAACAACTTAGCACAGACTAGTGTAAGAAAAAGTGGATAGCAAAAATTTGCAGTTATTGAAGGTAAACTAACTAAGGACCGGTTTATCAATTGTCCAGTTAAAGTTGCAGTTAGTTATCTGGCAGATAATCTTCATGGATGCCATTGTTCTCACAACGATCGATATGGAATTTAACTGTCAGATAGACTAACTGGAACTTAACCAGGGATTGATAAACCGGCCCTAAAGAAAGTTCCCCAAAATCTGTGACGAAATTAAAAAAGTTATTAAGTACAATATAACCCAATGTCTTACGCGAGATCAAGCTCCCCAAAATCTGTGACGAAATTAAAAAAGTTATTAATTACAATATAACCCAATGTCTTACGCGAGATCAAGCATTGTCATTAGTATTCAGCATAAAATCTAATAAGACCACGTAGAAAAGTCTAAAGTATAGAATGGCGAATGCGCCGGGTTTAAAATTATTAAAAATACGACTGCTATTATAATAATAGTAATTTTAAGCCATGTCAGATCTTTGTTTGTAAATTTGTGTTGTTGGTAGTGTCTAATTAATCAAATCTGCAGTTTTGACCATGTTAGACAGCCGTCTGTGAAGTCGCTGTAAACACATGCAACATTTTAAATTAATTACAAAAACTGGTGGATGCATATAAACAAACACACCGTGTACCGTTACAATCAAGTCATTTACCAAACTGTGGAACCGTGCCCGGTGTTTAAACAAAGAGGTTTACGTTGCGCAACGTGGATCGAAGAAGGACAGCAAGAACGCGATGGTGGGAGTTTATACCTGTAGAGTTCAGCAGTCGTTGTATACTATTGCAAACGTTAGGCCTCGTAAGCGGTACGTCGGGAGTTGGCAGAGAAACTTCGTAAAGATTAAACTTTTTATCCTGGGATTTATACGCATTGGACGAAACTAGATGAATAAAAAATTACCCGAACAAATGACAACTGCCCGATAGGCAGTGTTCGGTAGTGGTGCACGTGACTGTGAAAGTTTTGTGAATTTCTTTTGTGTGTTTCTAATGCAATGAACTATTTAAATTAATTTGTTCATTCATTTTGGACCATCACGTACTGTTGCGTTTTAAAATGCAGATTTTAAATCTTCCTTGTTGAATATATGCACAGGACTGAGAAAAAATGCACAAAGAAAGGTTTGTTTACTTTTATTTCAATGGTGCCTAATTATTTTTTAAATTATAATTGGGTCATCTTTTAATTAACTAAAAACAATAGTTAATTTCGGTTTTAAACACAGACCGTTTAGCGGTTATTGTTTATTTAAACTGGATTAAATGCAGAACGGATTTAGTTATTTTTATTTAAATACTTCTCCTAGAAGAATACAATTATTATTTATAATATAATTACGCTGTCCATTACATACAAGTTTTTATAAAAAAACACTTCTTAACATAAAATTTAACAAAGCTGACATTTAAAAAGATATTGGCTTTTTCCTAGATTCTCGAAAAATCAGCTCGATTAAAAAAATTTTAGGGGTTGCTTACGAAAAGTTTTTTTGCGCCACTTTGTAAATTTTCAAAAATATTTTACTTACAAATTATACGAATGTTTTGCTTTTTTGAGTATATTTTACCACCAGTAAAGTTATATTTAACTGAATTATATTTTAACCATAGGTATATTAAAAGATGGACACGTAATGCCCATTGTCGTGTATTGCTAGTAAAGCACGCCATTTATGAGCCGTAATGTCCCAGTCAATTTTAAAAGTTTGTTTTGTGTGTTTAAGCTTGATAAGAAATTTAAAATGTCGGTTTCAATATTAAAATACAATGGTGGTTTGTTCTGCTTTTGGTGGTAAAAGTTATATAAGTAATATTAACAAAAAAAACTGGAATAGCCTTTGACAGGTAAAAATTTATATTACACTATGTAACATGATATTTGTTTATCTGGATTTTATTACACAAATCGTAGTAGGCCATGCCCCCGATTACGTAACATACATTTGTTTTTTCAAACTGTCAAATTTTCAACGACAGCCGTCAGATCGTGTTGATGGCTTTGGTGAGATTTGGTGAGATGTGGTAGACCCCTCCACTATCCCTCACTTAAGATTTTGGCCATTAAACTTTCTTTGTGGAAAAATTAATTTAGAATAGTTTTTTGATTCACAAATATTGATAATTTAACAAATAAATCCAATAAACAAAACAAAAATTTTGTTACATGGTGTTATTAATGAAAACCCAAAATCTCTTTGTAAGGTATAAAATCTTAAATAAACAAATATGCGATCTTTTATTAAAATGATATAATTTATAAGTAAATTATACATGAAACTGTTTACAACTTGATTCACACTTTCCTTCATTGTGTAAGGTTTCAAATTAGGAGATTTTTAAGCAAATAATTGTACAACAGATTTTAAATATTGAAAGTTATTAGCTACTTTAAATTATTTTTTGGAAAAAAGTGCTACCATAGTAGCACATTTTTTCCAAAAATAATTTAAATTAGCTAAAAACTTTAAATCTTTAAAATGTTCTGTAAAATTGTTTAATATGAGATACACTCTTATGTAATAATTGGGACGAATTTTCTTCACAATAATTTAACAAAATGTATATTTTCCCTTAAAATAATAATATTTATTAATAAATAAAATAATTTTCATTGTAAAATACTGTTAAAACATAACATTGTAATAATAATTATTATATTATAACAAAATTATCTTTTTACAGCATTGTTAGGTTGACAATTATTGCATAATATTTTAAATGAAAATAAATATATGTTCATAAATTATCAAACACATGTTAATAATATTATTATTATTATTATATAATATCAACAAATTCCATAACATCCTAATGGATTTAAATTGTAAATAAATAAATGAATGCCATAAATCTTGTATTTTCAAAGCATCTCCGAGAAAGTTTATAATTTAATTCTCGGTTTGATAAAATAAATAACTTTCCTAACTTTTAATTTCTGCGTATAAAAAAACCATTTCAGTGGATGAGAATAAAAAAATAAAATTTTACAGAAGTTTTGCGGTAAAAGATTTTTTTACAAAAAAATCATTGAATAAAATTTAGTAGGATTTTTAATCTCGTTAAAATTAATAAAAGGCATAAGCATAATTTAATACTAAAAGATTAATTTTGAATTTTTAACGTTTTGTTACAATAAAATGAACATGGTGTTAGATGTTATCCGTTGCATTTCTCTTAGATATTGACACTATTAACTTTAGTGGGTATCGAGATGAGTATTGTGATATGTATATTGTATGGAGAATGATTAAAAAAATTTTAGAGTCCTTTAGCCTGTGTGTGTGTCTAAATTAAGTAAAGGATTTGGTCAATTAATTTTGACACTCTAATATTGTTGTTTAGTACTTAATTATTACGCAAAGTTTCCATCCCCTGTATCTTTTTAAATAATAAAGGTACATTTTTTAACAGTTTTCAATTTGAGGTCTGTAGATCATAAACCTTCAAGGTGGTGCGCAACTTTTGGGACACTGTATATATTTTAAAATAAAATACACTTTATTTTTATTCGGAAGTTAACAACGTCAAAAATTTGGGGATTTAGTTGGCAAATACTTGGGACATTGAGTAAAACAAACTATTTTATGGCTAGTGGAGTGTGGGACAAGGAGCGAAAACATTTTTGTTTTTTGAGGGACATAAACTGACCCAAAACTAAGTACAATCCGAAGTCCTCCTCAACCAGGGATTTAGTAATAACCCCATTTAATTGGGATTTATGAATGGGGCTTGATTGGTTAATTCGCTGCTAGGACATTTCGTTGGTTACCTAATTTATTAAATGTGCTTAGTAATCTACAGATGTTTATTCTTTAGGATGAGTTTATTTGCCTAGTGTTTATCTGAACTTGATTAATGACTTCATATATGTGCCCTTGTTATTTGGTTATGCTTGCTGTTCTTATGAGAACTGTTGGCGACTAATTAATTTTTACCTGGTGGAGTTTTTTGTTAGTTAAGGTAGCGGATTTCGATGCAATTTTGGTAATTTTACTTATCCGGTTTATGCAGACTTAGACTTCGGGCGCATTGACAGAAAGATGTGATGAAATTATTCCTTAAAATCAACCGCCCACTTTTAGCACGTGTTATTTCTGTGTTCCAGAAAATTATTCGTTATATCCAATCACCTCACTCACACCCTTTTTTACAGGTAGAGCATTTTAGGACTTCATCCAGGAGGAGGTACCACACGCAATTTGCACCTTTTTTGCACTTGGTTTTGGTAAATCACGTGTAGATTCGATATTGATTTTTAATTTGAACAACGTTAGCGGTGATAGCACTATGAAAGTACGAACGCGTTAAACGAGACACTCACACGAGTATCCAGATTTTGGTTTATAGAAAAAACTTTAAAAGTTCTTTTTTTTGCTTCTTACCCCTTCATATATTATTCTTCTGTATGTGTGCAATTTGCATGATACGAACTTCTCCTAAACGTCTGGACCGATTTTGATGTTTAAATGCTTCCCTGGATGGTTTAGACTCACAATTAGACCAAGGTTCGGACAGGACAACGTCTCTCGGATGACAGATTTAACTTTAATTTTGGCACTATAACAAAAAAAATTAACAATTTATATTGTTACTTTTTATAATAAAGTAATTTGTTAATTAAAAGACGTCACGGCATACTGTGATTTATTTATCAAATTCTCGAAATGGAGATACTATTTTAAATCTTAAATTTAGTTAGCCATATTAAGATTAAATTGACGTTGCATATTCTGCTCGAAAAAACATTTAATTTGAATCCCATGTCAAGAAGGTTGTGAAAAAATAGGTAATAGGGCATCGGGCGACCGCCATATTGGAATTAGTACGACGTCACTTACCTTATCGTGCATTGTCGTCCAGTTCTGAGCTATTTTTAAAGTTTCAATTCTCTTGAAGTTAGTTTGCAAAATTGTATCAAACAAACAGACAGACATACACGCAGGCAGACAGACATAAACATAAAAAGAACGGTTCATAAAAGCTTTAATCTACTCCCACATTAAAAAACTGTGATTTTATGGCGTTTTAGTCACGGGCTGAAATTAGAAATAGCGGCTTTTGGGAATTTTAGTCAGCTTTATTATAAATTGTTAAAAATTAAGGTTTTATTCGTTAAATGTCAAATATCTAATAATTAAAATTCTTAGTAGCCAACCCTACGAACCCAAAGAAGAATTCATAGATCATAAGAATTTGGTATTTGACATTTAACAAATATAACCTTACTTTTCCACAATTTATAATAAAGCTGAATAAAATTTATACAATATACTATACGCTAAAGAAGTATCGCTAGCGCCACCACTAGGCTGTAATCATCGTAAGAAAAGTACAACTTTTAATAATCATCTCAAACGCTTATGTTACAAACGAAAAAAGCCGGAAAATGTTAAAAAATTTCGGAAAAAACCGTGGCTTGATTTGTTGTGTTGTTGGTTGTATTTCGAGAGCAAATCCTGGGTTGAGTTTTTACCGGTTTTCCAATAAACAGTATTAAATAAATTGCTTACAATATCTGTAAATATAAATTGTACCTATTAGATACAATAAATACACATTTTAGTAGTGATTAACGTGAAAAGTGTAAACATTTCAATTCAGTAAAAATCGTCAAACAAATAATTCGTCTAAATTTAAACAGGGTTTGGCATTATAGCGTTGATTAAGAAAGTCTCCTGTCAACGGTAAAATACCATTATATTATGTATTATAGGTATATAATATTATGATGCCATGAATTCGTAGGTATATCTTGTTGTTTAAAATGCAATTGTCGGCGTTTTTTAGAGAACTCAAATATAAAAATGGTTGATTTTAAGGTTATGTTTGTGCAAAAATTATGTTTTACTCTTTTCTTAAAAATGTCCAAACTTAAATAAAAATTATATTAGGTAAAGTTATCATTAGTTAATTCTGCACCAACAAATGTACTTACCGAATTGGATGTTTTGGCAAAAATGAAGATGCAACGATTTAGTTCTTGAATTTTATTTACAATTAAAAACACAATAATTCACCATGATCCATTATATCTATAAATAAAATACACACACTAACGTAACTATATAAACATTTAAGCGTTGAGTTTCTTAATCAATGATATAAAGAATAATCGAAATCGA